TGGAGCAGCCGGGAGCTCCCCCCACAGCCAGCGTCCCCCACCCCGCTTCTCACAGCGCCCCCTGCTGGACGAGGCTGGGGCAGCCAGCCGCTCCCCCTGCTGCTCCCTTTGCTCACCTCCACGATGCTCCTCAGGTCCCGCACGTAGGCCTGCTCCGTCTCCACAATCTCCAGCACCACCCGGTCCAGCTGGGACAGCTTGACCCGCCGTTCCCTGGCTCTGGCAGGCCCGGGGGACCAGGCACTGCCACCGCCACGCTTGGCGCCCCCCGGGGGCCCCTCGGCCGGCCCCTCCAGCAGCGCCACCGGGGTGAGATCGAGGCTGATGTCGCAGCCGTTCTGCTGGGCGTCGGGCGGGTAGCCGGCGGGGCAGCCCCCGCCCAAGGCCCCGCTGCTGCCGAAGGCGCTCTGGCTGTCGGGCAGGGAGGCGGAGGAGGCGGAGGAGCTGAGGCTGACGGGCCGCTCGCCGTCCGAGCACACCGTGTTGACCGAAGTGCAGCTGCCCGAGATGGTGGCGGCGGCCATGCCGCCGGCGATCCCGCTCAGCGAGGACACGGAGGATGGTCTGGCGGCCACTGAGGGGGGAGAGCGAGACGGACGGGTTAGCGGCGCCCACCCTGCTGGGAGATGCCCCATTGCGCAGCGCCCCCTGCTGGGAGAGGCCGGGGCTGGAGTAGCCGGGAGCTCCCCTTACAGCCAAGGCTCCTGCCCCGCTCCCCACAGCGCCCCCTGCTGAGAGAAGCCAGGGCTGGAGTTCCTGGGTTCGCCACCCTGCTCTTGGAGGGGAGTAGGGTCTACTAGTCAGAGCAGAGAGATGAGTCTGGACTCCTGGGCTCCCCCCGCCCCGAGCTCTGTCGCTGGCTGACGTTGGGCAAGCCCCGTGCCTCCCCTCCGTGCCTCAGTTTCTCCCTCTGTGTAAGAGGTACCGTGACACCCTCCTCCCTCACCACGCAGGGGCGCTAAACTCATTCGTGCCTGCAGAGCTCCTCCGGCGGGACACACCGGGGGAGCCAAGGGGCCACTGCCTGGATGCCCAGGGCTCAGGCGGATTTCCCCGTGCTCGCAAGCAGCGGCAACGGCTGGAGGATCAAGGGATCGATTCCTCCCCCCTCCACCTCTGTGGCTCTCCGGCCCAGCGTGGCCGGGAACGGCCGCAGTTCTCTCTTTTCAGCCCTTCTCAGGCTGGGCCTCCGGCACTAATAGGAGACAGGTGCACCCCATGAGCTTGGGGGGGGATCCTTTCTAGCCCTACTGTCCCTCCAGCCCAGACCCCAATAAGCCGGCACCCGCCCGTGCATCCTGCAAACCACCCCATCCCGGAGCTGCAACCACATTGAGCTCAAGCCGCTTCCTCCCGCCGCCCCCCACCCCGCATCGTCACCTCCGATCCCGGCTCCGCGGGCTTGTGCCCCCATCTGACGTGGCGACGCCAGGGGGACCCGTCCCCAGCTGCACTTCACGCTCCCCACCCCCGCCCCGGTCTCCGAGAGCTTCCTCGCCCGCCTTGCACCTTCGAGGCTGTGGTTTGCGTTGCATTGTGGGAGGAGAGGCTTTGCACACACACACACCCGGCGCACACTGAGCTCTGCCGCTCGGGGAAAGGTTTGCACAAAAATATACATTAGAGACGGGCCCTGGATTCAGATCGTCCCTGGGCAGCTCGGTGCTGGGTTCTGGTCCTGGGGCATGAGCCCACGTCTGTCATCTGTATTTATTTATTATATACAGAGATCCCTCTATGCGCGCGCACACACACACACCCCACTAAGCACAAACCCCTGTGCGCACACACACACCTCTGTGCACACACACACACACACCCCACTAAGCACAAACCCCTGTGTGCTCACACACACCTCTGTGCACACCCACCTCTCTGTGTGCGCGCACACACACCCCACTAAGCACAAACCCCTGTGCGCACACACACACCTCTGTGCACACACACACCTCTGTGCGCGAGCACACACACACCCCACTAAGCACAAACCCCTGTGCGCTCACACACACCTCTGTGCACACACACACCTCTGTGTGCGCGCACACACACACCACTAAGCACATACCCGTGTGCACACACACACACCTCTGTGCACACCCACAAACACACCTCTATGCACATACCCATGCGCGCTCACACACCTCGAGGCACACAACTCTCTATGCACACCCACACACCCCTATATGCATACACACACCCCAAGTGTGCGCACACACACACCCCGTGCACATACGCACACCCCGCTGTACACATTCAGCCCTCTATGCACACCCGACGCGCACACCCAGACACACACACCCATGCATTTGTGCACAAATGAACTTTTCCCATGCACTCACCCGGCACTCACGCTCGCCCCTTGTGCATGCGCACACCACCACACACATATTACACAAGCGCACCGCTGTTTAAACACACAGACGCACAAACGCCTTTACGCACACATCTCCCTATACGCGTACACGGCCGCCCCAGCCCCACACACACATGGTGCACTCCCCCCACGCACACACAATTCAAGGCCACTCTGTGCCCGCGCCCCCACCCCTCCATGCACGCGCACACTCGCCCCAACCCAGCACTGTGCACCCGCACCGGTGCACAAACACTTCTCTGCATGCACGGACACCCCACAGGTACCCCCTCACGCCCCCATGCACGGAGAACAATGGAGAATGTTACACACACACACACACACACAGTGGATTTGAACAGCCGTGGGGAGTGTCACACAGACAGCAGTATGACAATACCTCCCAGCTCTCATCATTGGCTGATCTCAGAGCACTCGTTTTACCGAGGGGGAAACTGAGGCACGGAAAGGGGAAAGGACTTGCTCACAGGCCCCCAGCAGCAGAGCCGGGAATGGAGCCCGGGACTCCTGAACACCAGTCCAGCGCGCTATCCACTAGGCCACACTGCCTCCCATCTACGGTGGCACAAATATCCGGACCCTTCGCCCTCCCCCGTTGCCCGTGCTCCAGGAGAGGCCAGCAGGAGCAGGACTCCGGCAGCAGGAGGCCTGGGGTCGGGGTCTGCCGGCCCCATGGACTCCAATGGAGCGACGCCCATTGACACCAGGCGGGGATCTGGCCCCTCCCGACAGTTCACATCTCTCTGGCCCTTTCGGTTCCGGCCAGCGAATAGGTGAGTCAAAACGAGCAGCAGCCACAGAGCCGGAGAGAGGAACCGACTGCACCCGACGCTTCGGCGGGAGGAAGTGGAACATGAACAGCTCGCAAGCAGGGGCGGGACACCGGGGGGCGCCGGCACTGCCTGGCTGTCTCCATGCGCCCTGGCAGCGTGCCTCAGTTTCCCCTTTAAAAGCCCCACCCTAATGCTTTCAAATGGGGGGCAGCTTCAATGCAGACAATGGCTCTTCAATGCAGACCCGCTGGGTGGGGGGTCCCTGCTTGTCTCTTGTCAGTTTCAACGGCGGGGGAAGGGTTAAATTCGATCCCTTAAAGGGCCCATCCACCCCTCCACGCGCCAGGCTCCTCGTGCCAAGACTGCCAGGAATGCGGAAGCCCTCGGACGACCTGTTTGCTTTGGTCTCCCCATTGGGGGCCTCCTCGATCCAACCGGCCGCGTGAAGCCTGGAGGTTTATTATTCAAACCCTGGCCCCCCACCGGCTGGAAGGGAGGGGGGTGGGACTGGCGCATGCCCAGGCTGAGATGCCCGGCCTCGGCATGGAGTCCATGACTCCAGCTCTGCCCCTCCTCCTCCGCCTCCTCCTTCGGGCCTGAGAGTCAGCTCCGCCCCATTGCCGAGCTCTGGGGCTGGGGTTGTGGGGAGGTCGCTTGGACTCCCTTTGCGCTGCGTGTTCTGGGTCCTGCCTGGCTTCCGGTGCCATTTAGAGCAACCTCTGGGCTGCTCTAACTCACCCCCCCCCCCCCCCCCCCGCCCCTGTCCACCCAGAGCCCCTCTCTGCTTCATCTGAGCTAGGATCGGCACCCGTCCCTCTGCTGGGGTGGGTTATTCGGCTCTGAGAAGTGGTTTGCAGCCGGGGTGCGACAGAAAACCCCATCTGCTGCTGCTGTTTACGTAGGGCTGCCGCTGAGCACGGGGATCTGCAGGCACAGCTGGGAGACGCTCGTCGTCCCAGCGGACAAAACACGGGGCAGCCGTTTGGGGGAGGGGTGGGGTGTGGGGCGGGTTTCAAGAAGGGCTGGTGGGTTAAGGATGGGGAGATTGTTCAGGGGCTGCAGGGAAGAGGGAATGAGAAAGAACGTGGGAAGGAGAGAGACAAGGAGCCCATGAAGCAACTCACAATCACTGTGCCCCCATCTGAGAGATGGGGAAACTGAGGCACGAGGGGGGGGAGATTTCCCCAAGGTCAGCCAGCGAATCGGTGGCAAAGCTGGGAATAAAACCCAGGAATCCTGCCTCCCCGTCTCTGCTCTGTGCAGTAACCCACCCCATCTGCGGGCGGGGCAGATCGCCTCATCAGCCCGGGAGCTCTGCATCCAGCCCCACAGGGGGTCACATCGCGTGGGGGCCCCGGGCACCAACCTTGACTGCCTGCTTTCTTCTTGCTGCCTCGACGGGCTCCCTCAGGCATGGTGCTGTGGTCTGCGACGGACGTCCTGCGCAGAGAGGGAGACAACGCCGAGTCACAAGTCACGAACCAGGAGTCTCACAACCGCCTCGCTCCAACCCACAGTCCACACTCGAGTCGAAGCATTCAGGTTTGGATTGGATTGGATGATCTTCCGGGGGGCTGGAGGGGAGGGGAGGCCTGGGTCGTTTACCAAATTTCAGCTGGATACCGGATTATTCTTCCCTTTCATGCCTAAAAGATACTCTCTGCACGATGGTTGTTAAACAGCTTCCATGCCTCACCCCAGAAGTGGTTGCATTTCAGCATCAGGTGAGCAAGCCCTGTATGAATAGCTGCCGCGCCTCACCCCAGAGCGGGCTGCATCTCGGTACTGCGTGGGGAAAAACAACTCCGTGGGCACAACAGAAGCACGAGCCATTCAGTGCAAGATGCACCGAGGAGCAGACCACTTTACGGCCCCAGGGCAACTGTCCCCCAGGCTCCGCCAACAGGACCAAGCCTCAGCCGATGCAAGCAGGGGAAGAACCCAAGGTGAACCCACGACCTCACGAACGCGGAGGGACCTTTCTGCTGCAGACTGGGACCCTGCACCGGTGCAAATGCAGCCTGGCTGATCTGGGCAGCCTTTTGTTCTGCTGCAGGTGTTGCTTCAGGTGCAGAGCGACAGGGAATCGGGCCCCTCTGCCTGCGGCACATCTGGGTCCCTCATGCCTGGCGCTCAGCCACTAACTGCCCCTGCCACCCGGGAAGCTGGTTTAGCGGAGGAAGCAGTCTAGGCTGAGAACAAGGAGGATAACAGCACTTCCCTTTGCCTCCGTGTGGAAGCATCATTAACTCCTTGTGCAAACTGTGCAGTGCTGGTGCAACTCACACCATGCAAACTGCATTGCATGGTCCTCATGCAACTCCCCCTCGTGCAAACTGCATTGTGCTGGTGCTGCTGGGGCACCATGCAAGCTGCTGGGGCAACCCTTCTTGTGCAAAATGCACTGCACCCTGTTGGTGCAACCTGCTCTCGTGCAAACAGCACGGTGTCGGCACAACCCACACCGTGCAAATTCTGCTGCAACGTGCTGGGGCAATCCCTCCTCGTGCAAACTGTGCGGTGTGGGGTGGACGCCAACTCCCCCTCGTGCAAACTGGTGCGAACAGCGGCTTGCACCACCCCAGCTTCCCCGGGGGAGACTCTGGGAGCTCATCGGCGCCGTGCCGATCAGCCGGGCCTGGTCCCTGTTCAGCTCCGCCTGGCGGGGTTGGAGGAAGGTCAGGATTGCTCGGCTGCCAGCCGCCGCGCGGAGGAGTGCATCACAATCATATCAGGCAGCCCTTCCGCCCTACCACCCCCCCATGTCCTTCCCTCTTTCCTGGAGATGCAAGAAACAGGCAAAGGCTGGCACCGCTCATGCCCGCTGCCCACCGGGCGGGCCTATGGCTTTAATTCCCGCACAGCTCACTGCTTCCCCCTATTCATCTCCATGGACCGGGGCACAATCAACACAGGCTGGGAACACAATGCAGCCTATTTTGAGCCCAGTGACTTCAGCCGGACCAGACCACTTCAGCCCTCCGGCGTTTCAACAGCTGTGCGCCACCGGCCGCCGCCAGGAGCGACAGGTGCCCCCGACCCCCGCGATGGCTGGGAACGGATTAGGGAAGATACACCCCGATGAGCCGAGCCGGTGACCCACGCCCCACGCTGCAACCAAACCCCAGAAACCATCTGACCAATTGTGAGTCAGGGGTGGGGAGCCAAAATCCTTCCTGACCCCCCGCAAGGTGGCCGGGGGAAGCCCTGAAGCATGAGATTAGATTACAGTCATTAACGCCCAGCAGCAGGTGTCAGGTGCACGTTGAGGGCAATCGCAGCTCATCGATAACGGGGATGGAGACGTAGCAATGACCGTCCCCCTTAACGTTCTAGATGGAAGGATCCAAAGGAAAGAGATTGGGGGGGGGTTGATGGGACAAGACAGCCTCCCCCCGAAATAAACCCAAATACAAGTAGGTTCCCACCCCCGCCAGCAGACGCAGGCTGGCCTTGAGGTTAGGGCATGGGGCTGCCAGTCTCCAGCTCTGCTACAAACGTCCTGTGTAGTATTTTTTATTATTTGGTATGTTTTGGTAGGACCTAGCGGCCCCTGGTAAGATCCAAGCCCCATCATGCCGGGTGCTGCACAGGGTCAGGTCTGGGGTTACAGGTGAAGCAACTATTAGGTCTATTACGGTAGCACCTAGACGTCCCAGCTAAGATTGGGGCCCCACCGCGCCGGGTGCTGCACAGACCCAGAGCCACCCCCGACCCAAAGAACTTCCAGTCCGATCCACTTCGGAAGTGGAATAAGCTGAGTCGGAAAAAGGCACTTCGCTTGGTGCACGGTTCACACCCTACCTTAATCCGGAGTAACGTCCCCATGTAGATACGCCCTATAGACAAAGGAAGGATCATCCACACCATGGGGAAACTGAGGCCCAGAGAGACACGAAGGTCTCTAGATTCCACAGTGAGTCTGTGGCAGTGCCAGGAATCCAACCCGGATCTCTTCAAGCCCAACCCGGTGCGGTAACTAGAAAACCAACCTGATGTGGAGTCCCCTCTGCCTCAGTTTCCCCACCTATACAATGAGCAGGAGGATCCTTCCCTGTCTCCCGCAGCGGTTGTGAGGAGGGCAATAGCAATCCCTAGCGCTTTTCATCATAGAAGCGTCGGGCTGGAAGGGACCCCGAGAGGTGATCGCATCCAGCCCCCTGCGTTGAGGCCAGACCGAGTTAACCTAGCCCAGCCCTGACCGGGGTTTGTCCAGCCTGTTCTTAAAAGCCCCCAGTGACGGGGATCCCGCAAGGTCCCTGGGACGCCTGTTCCAGAGCTTCCCTCCCCGGAGAGTTCAGAGTTCTCCTCCCTGGTCTAACTCCTGTTAGCAGTCACATCTCAAAGAACTATACCAAGGAGGTCAGTATCATTAGCCGCATTTGGGTAAACTGAGGCACAGAGGGGCCAGGGACTTTCCCACGCTCACCCAGCGGAGGACACAACCCAGGTTTCCTGTGTCCCAGTCTAGCGCTCGATCCACTAGGCCACGCTGCGCCTAGCGCAACCCACGACTCCCGACCAGGGCGGTACCACACGACAAACAGCAACAGACGCCGCGAGGGGGTTCGACGACCCTGGGGGCGGGCGTGAGGCCCGGCTGCCCGCCAGCAGGGCGGCGGTGGAGGGGCCGCCTGCTCCGTGCACAGAAACCAGGGTGGGTTTACACTCACTCCCAGCAGTTCCCTCGGATTGGGTGCCAGTCGCATTCCTGAGCTAATGCCGCTTTCCAGATTCCCCCACCCAAATCCCCAGGCTTCAAACAGAAAGAGAGTGGGGGAAAATATCCCCTAATAAGGTCAAACGGGACACCCTCCGCGGCAGAAAGAACGTGGCCCAGCGGCAGGCTTTGGAGTGGGAATCCAGTCGATTTCCGCCGGGGCGGCTGAGGGCAAACCTGGGCTCGGTTGGGAATCGGTTCTTGGGTCTTTGGTTTTCACGGACTCCTGGGGCCCGCTTCTCAGTCACGCTCAGGTCCCCCTGGGAGGCTCTGGGGTGGGAACGGCTGCCCTGAGAATCTCCCACCCACAGGGGGCCTCCCCGGTCTGCCGGGGGCTGGTGTAAGGGCCCTGCTCACAGCCCCAGAAGTAGGGGTGGATCGGGGCCGCAGCCGGAGCGCCCTGCGCTGTGGCTATTCTCTGCTTTCCAGGGCCAAAAAGGGGCGCAGAATGCGTTAGAGCAGCCCTGAGGCTGCACCGAGTGGACCAGGCAGGGCTCAAAATACAGGGAATGCAAAGGGGGGCCCAAAGGGATCCCGCCATCCTTGCTCCAGGCTCCTAGGAGCTGCCCCCTATGGATTGGGGAGGGGGGAACAAAGAATAGCCACAGCGCAGTGCACTCTGGCCGCGCCCCTGAAGCTAAAACTGCATCTCTCTGGATCTTGTACAGCGCCTGGCACATTGTCACAGCTCAACCGTCAATGACAGCGACCAAGACGAAGCAAAACCTGTCCTCCCTGTCATTCCAAACAAAGAAACCCCAAGCCGAAGGATCCCATGCATAAAAAGAAGAGGGGGTGGCGGGTGAAGATATTTGGTGCTTCCCGTAAGGCCCTAGCTTCTGGAGTCATGGGATTTCTTACAAATCTAACTTGCTTGAGTTTCTAGCCGTCATGTCTTCCGAGAAATCCTTGGAAACATGGACTGAGCGTGACCCTAAGGATTACAAAAACCAGAAGGGAAGTAAAAAGAACCCCAACATTATTCAACATGAAATGTCTCCATGGCCCCGAACTGAACGTCCTCAGAATTCATGTTTCCTGGGAATTTTGTTCTAATGCCGAGCGAAGTTTTTACCCCCAAAATGTCGCAATTTCCCCACAGAATAGAAATCTCAGGGGTCCAGCCCACTCTAAAAGCAGATCAGACCTGACAGCCAGTCCTGCTCCAACCACTAGATCCCACTCTCCTCCCAGAGTCAGGATAAGAACCCAGGAGTCCTGACCCCCAGGCCAGCCCCTGCTCTATCCACTAGATCCCCCTCTCCTCCTGGGAGATGGGCCTAGAACCCAGGTGTCCTATCTCCCAGTTCCACTCCTGCCACCATCTTCCCCACTGCTGCCACCATCACAGCCCCCATCCTCTATCTAACCGGCCTGTGACCTCCCCCACCCCAGCCTGCCACAAGCTAACCTGAGTGTGGAGGTGCGTCCATGCTGCAGAAAGCGGCTGGGAGCCTTGGTTCATGGGCGTGGCCCGGGCTGGAATCAGGCAGGGGATTTCCGGGTTCACAATTATCCCTTTCAGAGCCAGCACCCGAGCTGGAAAGCACCCAAAGACCCAGCCGTGCCTATGGGGTTCTTATTCCAGGTAGGATCTTAGCACCCAGAGGGCCCCATGGCACCCAGTGGAGAGCTACCCAGCCTAAGCAGACAAAGGAAGCACTAGAGATTCGCCCAGCCGGCAGTGGGCTGATTGTGTCTGTATCACACTAGCGACTCGAGCGAGATCGGGGCCCAGGCTAAATAACCGAGACAGACAAAGGACGGGAGGGAAAAGAAAGAGGCCAGTGGCCGCATCAAAACACCTCAGGTCTCCTGGGTCCCACCCTCTGGTTGATCCACTCAAGCTAACTAGAACTCAACCCTCCCAGTCCCTCAGCTGTGTTGGGTCTTATAGTATTATCCCCATTTTACTGCCGGGGAAACT